GTCCCCATTCAAAGGGGTAACAAATCTCTCTGGAACAAAAACATAACATATTTTTTAATATGCGGTAGTGAGTGTTCGTTAACACCCGAATCTCATAAGTTAGATCGTGTCTGCGTCAACCTACGTCTACGCCATGTCGGTGACTGTCTGCGCTTTTATACACTGCTCCTCTACCATTCTCCATTCCAAGAATGATAGAATACAAGATTGCGCCGTCCTGTGCGTTGACATTTGTGTACCACAAGTAAACAAAGAATAGAGCGAAAAGAAGAACGAGTTGAAACTGCCAAAACAGTTCACCTTCCAGCGAAAAACGTGTTTTAATTTTGCTAAATGTGAAAGTATTGCTTATTTACCTAATCTATTAGAGAATAGGTAACATTTTAGTGCACTCCATTGCCTTGCAATTGATGCTGCTTCAGCAAACGTTTTGGTGCACTCCATTGCTTTGCAATTAAGGCTGCTGCAGAAAACTGCGGCAGCATCTCAGCGGGATTGATTAGTTAGCTTGCTAATGCAGGCTGCTCGGAGCAGAAGCAAAATCATTGTGAGGAAATGCTGTTAATGGCATAATAAAGAAACATTTCGAGAACGGTTTTGCCGTGCCCTATGTACACAAAACGCAGCGATTCGTCCCAGCGCTACACTTGCACCTACGCATCTTGCATCTTGATGGCTGTCGCAATTTAACACACAGCACTTCATTTTATTAGTTTTTACGCAGTCTTCAACTCAAAAATCACTCACAAATTGCAAATTAACACAATTTAAACTGATTTTTCACTTATAATTCAAATTTATCTTTCGCTGATTTGTAAACAAAGGTTTATTTACAAATTACCACAACTGTCAAAATCGGCAAAACCAAAGTAGCGGTACCACTGACGGCGCCACCTTTGTTCGCTGCACCGTGTCTCCATTCACCATTGTAATGCCCTGTATGCAGCTCTCAAAAAAACGGGCAAGAAAAAATTGCCAATATTTCTTGTGTGTGTCCAAGGAATTTTAACATTTTTGATACTTCATAGCCTGTTGCCTCACTCTTCCCTCTAGAAATAATGGTGCGGGCATATATTTCTGTTGCAAACCTGGGTTGCCTTGTGCCCTTTTTTCACAAAAAACTTTAGAAATCCGTAGTAGAAAACGTAGGAAACTCCTTAAGAACTGCGTACTGCCATAAGTAAATTTGACTCAAGAAAATTTCTTAGGCATTTATTGTACTTCATTTTATATGGAGTTTGTGCGTTTCTTGAGTGCTGCATACAGGCCTTAAATTTTGCCAGAGAGAAATGCCAAAACGTGAGCAAGAATGGACGAAGAAGAAAAAATGTTGCAAGGAAAACGTAAACAAGTTGCACAAGTGTGACGTCATGCAAACCACGTGGCCCGCTCCATTATTTCTCGAGGAAAGAGTGAGACAACAGGCTATGAAGTACCAAAAATGTCAAAATTCCTTGGACACACACACGAAATATTTGCAATTTTTTCTTGACCGTTTTCTTGAGAGCTGCATACAGGGCATTACCATGAACGAAAGACACAAGATCACGTAAGAACAAGAGAGTGAAAAAAGTCGATTTTTTGGCGGGTTCTACGCCAACTTGTTTCACTGGAAAACGAGCGAAAAGTAAACAAAGCAGATAAAACAACGAAAACCAAAATTAGCCAAAATTATTGTCAGCCACTTTAATCGCACAATTTAGGTAAAATGATGCAACAAAATGCTTTAAAATGTGTTGTCATGTTGAATTAACCCTTCTTTACTTGAATAAAAGTGTAAAATAGTGGTGCTTGTGATGTAAACAAACGCTCAGCTGACGAACCCGCTTTCGCAACCTTTTTTCTCAAAACCAGTTACAAATACAACGTCGCGTTCTTACGTAACCTTGTATTTTTGGTTCATGGGGCATTACATTGCTTTGGCGACGCTTGCTATGAAAATATATTTTAAAGATGATGTTTGAGTATCGAAGTATCGACATATGTTTTCAATACTCATCGAATACTCCAATTGCTCAACAGTATAGTTGAAATTAGTCGACAACGCAGAACGTATACTTAAACGCAGTTTGTATACGCAGAATTTTGTCGATTACTGGAGCCCTCAGTGTTGCTTACTACACTGTTGCCACTCATCAATGCCTTTTCATAAACTTACCCTTTCAACTACAATTTTTCGTGCTATAATAGATTTTAGCTAGATATAAACTACTTAGTTTTCAACAAAAACCTTATTCAATAGTAAATTTCAAATATTTTAAACATATTTTGAATAGGAACTTATAACTTTTTTACCATCTGTAAGACTGACGAAGTGGCAACCATCTAAAGAAGGTGAAATCAGCTGACACGGAAAAATCTAAATTCCGCAGATTTCTGCGTTCTCGACTAATTTCAGCTTTAAACGCAGTCTGTATACGCAGAATTTTGTCGATTACTGGAGCCCTCAGTGTTGCTTACTATACTGTTGCCACTCATCAATGCCTTTTCATAAACTTACCCGTTTCAAATACAATTTTTCGTGCTATAATAGATTTTAGCTAAATATAAACTACTTAGTTTTCAACAAAAACCTTATTCAATAGTAAATCTCAAATATTTTGAATAGGAACTTATATCTTTTTTACCATCTGTAAAACTGACGAAGTGGCAACCATCTAAAGAAGGAGAAATCAGCTGACACGGAAAAATCTAAATTCCGCAAATTTCTGCGCTACGGGCTACAACTACAGAAAAACTCTACGGAGTTGAGTTTTCATTTACATGGCGCTTTGGTAAGACAGATCGTGTCAGCTGACTCGGGTTTACGTACCGGTAGGTTTACGTTCTTGACTAATTTCAGCTTATCAAATACATACTATTCGATACTCGATACTATTCACAGTCAGTGTTGCCGCGCCGCCTCAAGAAAATGTATCCCTGACCAAGCCAAAAATGTATCCAAATGTATCCAATTTTCTTTGTTTTTACATATACATCTCATAATTTGTAAGAAAACCAAACATTTTCATGAAAAAGACATAATTGAACCCATCCTAAGGACTTGGAATACATGTGCATAAAATCAAACATTTGTAATTTCAATTTATAAAGTACATTTTTTGTGCATAAGTATTTTGCAAAGTAAATATAATAAATAGCAAGTACACTCTAAAAGGAGCATATAAAACTACTACTGAAAAGTATCTATTTTTCAACAAGAATCTGAATAAATATACGTATAAGATGTTCAGTATTTGATATTGAACTTGAGATCTTTAAAATATACACATAAATACACATATATAGAATGTTTAAAATTGCAAAAATTTTCAAACTACAAATACATTTGAGTAGTCTACTTGCAATTTGCGCTATGTAAAATTTTTTTCGTTTCTTAGTTTTTGGCGGATTACGTACCAGTATTTAAAGTAGTTTCATGTCCACTAACAACAGAGTGCAAAATCTTTCTATATTCTGAAAATAATAGCATAAAATGTTAAGTCTTCTTCCAAAAGTCGCTATCATACTTATGTATGAAATTTCAAAAGTATCAATCTTCTGATGAACTTAGAAAGCTGCTTTAGGTCGTATAGACTGTTAATGTTATCTTATGACATGTTATGTTATGTTACAATTTTATAAGGCTCCTATTTATCCAAATTTTCAGGTAATAATAAAAAAGATTCAAATTAAATGTTACTTGTTGTCGTAGTCGCTTTTTCAAATTTATGGCTTTCTATTATAAAATCACATAACGCTGTTTGTATGTGGACTACTCATTTCCTACTAATAATAAACATTACTTTATTTTAAACATGTTATGTGTAATTTTGCTCTTGCGACAAATTTGGTAAACATGCAATGATTAATTTTATTACATGGCGTGCGAGTTTGCACACATTAAAAGAGGAAACTGGTTACCTCTCCTATTATGCGCAAATAAACAAAAATTGTTTAGAGTGTATTTAAAGTCTTTTCAGTAAAATTCATAAAAGTCTCCTTAAATAAATCAAAGTTAGTTTTTCAAACTACATTGAAATCTTTCTTTTTAAATTAACAAATGAAAATATGTGATATAAAAGAGATTACTACAGAAAGAGTATAATTTACTTTATATACATATGCATATTGTCGTTTAAAGTACAAAACCGCGTATCGTCATTCTGCAAAACCGCGTAACTGACATTTGCTGCCAAAAATTGGATTTGCTCACACAAGCTCTTGGCTCAATCCTCATCCATTCGTCCTGAAATATACTAGCCAGAAATGCGATTGCTTTATAAAAAAGAAATATAAGTGTTTTTACTCTCTAGAAAATAATTTATGCAACGCCACGTACGCTGTTTTGCTTTTTGTTCATACGCGGTTTTGTACTTTAAACGACGATATGTATATTAAGATCTTGCTTAAAGCATCCTTTAAGCTAATTAAAGCAATTGCGCTTATACCTATTTTGGTGAGATCACTTCATATGTTCATTGCTTCGTTCACAAAAAATAAAATGCTTTAAATTCACGCTTAAGTAGCGATTCTTTATGCGTTCAGAAAACGTAATGCTTTCTACCATCTTTAATGAAAATCGATTTTTGATCGAAAACAGCTTTATAGGAAATATAAAATTTTGGCCTATTTAAAAAAGTATCCACATTTAGGGCCGGTTGTTCAATGTCTGATTTGCAGAAATCGGAGGTAGAAGCTCCGGTTAAATACAACGACTGCTTTATCGATCACATGTTATAAGCATGGTGACGAAAACGTCGATAATGATGTTTAACCTGCAAGTAGTGATTAACACTAATCTCCGGTTAAACATAGTTATCGACGTTACCGACTCCCTGTTATATGCATGGAGTCGAAGTCGTCGATAACGATGTTTAACCGCCGAAATAATAATAAAATAAGTATCCCGCAAAAATTCGCCTAAAAATGTACCCAATTGGATCTATTTAGATCCAAACGGCATCCCTGTTCAAAGTTCTAATCACGAAAAGGAAAGGGAGTTTACTCAGTATTTGTAGATATACATCTCTTTCTCACTTGCAATATTTTCGCCTTGATTTTTACGAATATTCGTGGACGAGTAGAAAATTTTATTGAACACGATCGTGTTGGTGTCTAAAAGTGAAATTCTGCTGTCGGTTGGAAATATTTTAAAGAAAGGTTTTATTTATTTAAATTTGTAACTCATCAAGTATTTTACTTATAAGATGAATGAAGAGTATGACGCAATTGTGCTTGGAACCGGTCTAAAGGAATGCATTCTAAGTGGAATGCTCTCTGTGTCCGGCAAAAAAGTTTTGCATATCGACCGGAATAAGTACTATGGTGGCGAATCTGCATCCATAACACCGCTAGAGGAATTGTTTCAACGCTTCAACATTGAAGCACCAGGTGATAAATATGGACGCGGTCGGGATTGGAATGTTGATCTTATACCCAAGTTTCTCATGGCAAATGGATCACTGGTTAAATTGCTTATCCATACGGGGGTGACACGCTATCTTGAGTTCAAATCCATTGAAGGAAGTTATGTGTACAAGGGTGGGAAAATCGCCAAGGTTCCCGTTGATCAGAAAGAAGCCCTAGCCTCGGATTTAATGGGTAAGTTAATCTAAGTATAAAGCAATGAATTTATTTTTTTTTATACCGTAATCGTTTTTTCATTGGTTGTATTCGTTGCGGTTTTCGCTGGCAATTCGGCATGACACGTATTGTCGACGGCCAATGCGCAACGAAATATTTTTTTATGGTTGAAGAAGTGAAGAATTTGTGTGTAAAGGCACAGACTGCAAAAACGTAACGTTTACTATAAAACATGTATAAAATTATTTGCTAGAAAATTGGATGTAAGGGCGTCGAAGACAAGGGCACTCAGGACAGCGACAGGATGCCTCCAGCCCAACTCCGCTCTGGCTACTGCAGCACGTTAAACTCTTACCTGAGTAGATTGAATGAGGATGTGGCAAATGAGTGTCCGGCGTGCGGAGAGACCCCACATGACTCGAAACATCTCTTCGCATGCCCGGAAAACCCGACAACCCTAACGGCCTTGTCCTTGTGGACCAACCCAATAGAAGCTGCACGCTTTCTAGGGCTGTCGTTAGTGGAACTTGACGACAACGACTGAGATACCAACCGATCTGGGCGGGGTTGTTGTAGCCGCTACAACAACAAGAACAACAACAAGGTATAACCATTTCCGATGATGACAAACTTTGGTACAGAGCAAAGCTATAAAAATATATATAGTACAGTTTTGCTCATTTGTTGTGTTGCAGTTACGCTTAATACGCTGCATTCATTCATTAAAAACACAATTTTCGGGGTACAAAAATTCACTTTCTAAAGGTGGGATTCCAGAACTCGCCGGTTCAATGTCTATCGCTTAAAATGTCTAAATTGGAGAATTTCTTTCTCGCGAGAAACAAATCTGTAAGTCCACAAAAAATAAAAAGTCGTATATCGCCTTGAAATATGCAAAAAAAAACAATGTAATGGTTTATTTAATATAGGTATGTATATTGTTCTTATATGTATGTAACTCTAACTCCAATTGTTTAAACAAGTATCCTAAGTGTAAATAATCTTTGGATAGAACATAATAGTTTTATTGAAAAAGTAAAATGGAAGCGTTTAATTCAGATATTAACAGCTTTTGCTACTGCTGTGATAAATATGTACCAAAAACCTCTGTGAAGACTGTGTTGTCATGCCGGAGAAACTTTCCAAAGTTCTCGACGAGGTCATGGGGACCCAAAAGCTTAGTATTGAGTTAATGTCTAACGCTTTTGATGCTAAATTCAAAGATCTTTCTAATCAACTTGATGCATTAAAAAATCTTATTTTATCTTTGCATTCCACCAACAATTCGAATGCAAGCAATTTAAATGCTGTTAATGTGGGTTTGTTGGCTGCTGAGTTTGGTGCTAGTGCTTCGTACAACAACAATAATTACTGTTCATGTTGTTGTTGTTGTAGCGGCTACAACAACCCCGCCCAGATCGGTTGGTATCTCAGTCGTTGTCGTCAAGTTCCACTAACGGCAACCCTAGGAAGCGTGCAGCTTCTGCGGGGTTTGCCCATAAGGACAAGGTCGTTAGGGATGTCGGGTTTGCCGGGCATGCGAAGAGATGTTTCGAGTCATGTGGGGTCTCTCCGCATGCCGGACATTCGTTTGGCACATCCTCATTCAGCCTACTCAAGTAGGAGTTTAACCTGCTGCAGTAGCCGGAGCGAAGTTGTGCAAGTGTAGTGCGCGTCTCCCGAGGCAGATGAAGCTCCGTCTCGTCAATGTCCGGGGGTGGTGTGCCTAGAACGGCATTCACAGGTCTAGAGTCTACATAACTCGAGACTGAGTCCCTGTGAATGCCGTTCAAGGCCTGTCTGTAGGCTGTCGGGTCCAGAGGTTGTTTAATGAACCTCTGGACTTCGTCCGTTAGTTCATATAGATGCCTCCTGACGTGCCTAGGCGAGGGCTCCTCTGCAAGCAGCTGTCTGCTCGGGTGGCCACTTCTGTGGCTCCCGATCAGGAACTGCTTGCAGAGCATTATGTTGTGCTCCTTTACCGGGAGCATTTGCGCCTCGCCGTGCAGGTGGTGTTCAGGCGTCATCAAGAGGCATCCCGTCGCTGTCCTCAGTGCGGTGTTTTGTGCGGTCTGTAGCTTCGTCCACTGCGTCCTACTAGTCCCAGGCGACCACACTGGCGCTGCGTAGTTCAAAACCGGCCGGCCTATTGCCTTGTATGTTGCCAGCAACGTTTCTTTGTCTTTGCCCCAAGTACTGCCGGCTAGCGACTTGAGGACCTTGTTGCGGCTCTGTACTTTATTGACAATAGCGGTTGAGTGCGCAGAGAAGGAGAGCAGGCTATCGAATGTTACTCCGAGTATTTTGGGGTTATTCACCGTCGGAATTGGTGTGTCATCGACGTGAATCCCCAGCGGTAGCCTGACCTCCTTCGTCCAGGTTGTGAACAGGGTCGCGGAGGATTTCGTAGGGGAGAGGGCTAGACACTTTGCAGTGAAGAAGCGAGAAAGTTTGGAGAGATAGCCGTTTACTTTCGAACACAGGTCATCAATTCCATTCCCAGTCGCCATAATCGAGCAATCGTCGGCATAGGAGACAATCGAGACTCCCTCTGGTGGTTGAGGGAGCGGGAGCCACAACAGCACCAGGCGATGAACAGTAATTACACTTGATTAATTACTGTTCATCGCCTGGTGCTGTTGTGGCTCCCGCTCCCTCATTCGTTTGGCTCTAAAAGCGTCTTGTCTGAGCGCACATCGTCTCAGAGTGTTAACGTCATCTCTCTCGTTCGCAAAGTTGATTGTGGCGGGACTGCTAGTTCTAGCGGCTCTAAAACTGTACGTCATGGTGACGGCCTCATGGACACAAATACTGTCGCAGGTTGCACTGCCAATTTACTTGCGGGTACTACTACCACCACGAAGCCAACAACACCGTGCACTGCTAATGTTTCTGTTGCAGCTAATTCATCTTTACTCGCTCCTGTAATTGTGAACAATATTTCTTCTGCTGGTTTGCCACCTGTTTCACAACATATACCGACTGGTGGTGTTAGTGCTGAATCTGATGCTGTTAACGCTACGGCCGCGGAAGTGCTTAATCCTCCTTCTCCTACCCGCAGCCCTGTTTGGCTTGCTGCTGAGAGTAAAAGGACAAAGCACATCCAAAAGCGAACTCGCGTGGTGGGATCAAATGATTGTAGTGATCTTGGAGTGGCTGCCCGCTTTAAGTGGTTGCAGCTTTCGTCTTTCGTGCCAACCGTCTCCTGTGACAATATTGTTGATTATGTGGTGAGACACGCTGGCATTGATAAGCGGCACTTAGGGCGGTATTGTCACTTGCGAAGCGAATGAATTTGGCGAAGCGAACGGTTTGGCGAAGCGAATGGATTGGCGGACGCAACTTAAATATGCATTAAGAGTGTTCGCTTTTACCAGCTGGTACAAGTTCTTCGCATCGCGCACACTTTTAATACCTTCTCTGCCTTTTAATTCGCTTCGCCAAACCGTTCGCTTCGCCAAATTCATTCGCTTCGCAAGTGACAATACCGCCCTTAACCTGCTACAAGTTAGTCAAAAAAGAGTGGAGACTGGATTCTTTATCCTATGCCAATTTTAAGCTTGGCGTCAGCGAGTTCGATTGCGAAAATCTAATGAGACCAGAGTTGTGGCCAGCTAATGTTTCTGTTCGGCCGTTCCGTTTTTTTCACAGAGGGACAAAACAAACTCATCCGAATTAGTTCATTTGTCCTCGGATGCGCCTGATCCCGTAGTATTGGATATTAATAAGTTTGGTTGTAATGCATATTTAAATGTTAATAAGCAGAAATATAATTATAGCTCTTTGAAGGTTTATTTCCAGAATATTTCTGGCCTTCGAACAAAATCAGCAGCGGTACGCTCTATTAGCTCGCAAAGAGATTTCGATTTTTTTGTTATTGTTGAGTCATGGCTAAATGCGGATTTCGTTGATGAGGAATTTTTTGATTCAAACATTTATAATGTCTTTAGGAAGGACAGAGATGCAACTAAGACTGACTTGTCTGAGAGGCGGCGGAGTTCCTATTGCGATTCAGCGTAAATTTCATTCGTGTCTCGCTTGAAAATGATGATTCCCTTTTGGATCAGCTTTGTGTTCGCATCAGTGCCTCATCTAGTCATGACTCTCTGTTTTTGATTGTTTCTTATATCCCGCCTAATAGTAATTATAATCTTTATAAAGCGCATGCTGACAACATAATGTCTTTAGTATTAAATAAGCTAGGAGATGACCACCTCTGTGTGTTAGGCGATTTTAATCTTTGTAATGTATCTTGGTCCACATCTTTTTCCATTGCTGGTCTCTCGCCAATTAATGTCAATGCGTCCCATGAATTTAATTTATTACAAATCAATAATTTTGTTAACAAGTTGGATAGAATTCTTGACCTCATATTTATTAGTGATAACATTAAATGTTACATTGAAGTTTGCCACCATCCGATCACTCCATCTAATATGCATCATGTTCCTCTGCTACTAAAATTTAAATTTTATGTATTCCCGTCTTTCAATGCTGGTGACAAACCTAA